ATGGAGGGGCTTAGTCCTAGTGTGAATAGTTTGTCCATCAGGGTTTGGGGGATCATGGTGTTGAAGGCAGATGTGAAGTCCACAAAGAGCATACGGACGTAAGAGTCCTTCTGCTCCAGGTGGGTGAGCGCAGTGTGGACCACAGAGGAGATGGTATCCTCTGTTGATCAGTTCTTGCGGTGCCCCCTTATGCTCTTTGTTGTCTATTCTTGATGCCCAGCTTCATACAAATCAAATCATTTGGCTCTTTATTGCTGGTCTCCACGTGGACCAAAGTATGCCCAGGTTAGACCATTACATCTTGGTGCTGAACAAATTTTGAGAGTTCAAACTCATGTAGAAATCTGTGACAAGGGGGCATTGTTCTTTCCTTTCCTCTAATAATAAAACAATTTTTTTTAAACGAAGGCTTTAATTGGTTTCTCATGTTTTTTCTCTCTTTTTTTGCATATAAGCAGTATATTGTTTCTAAAATGTTGTTTTTGAAAGTGAACAAGATAAGTGTTCCTTATTGACATTAAATAACACCATGCATTCTTTGAATAAAGACCAAAGATTTCTTCATAAGTATCTTTCTGCTGCATGCAGGCTCACAGAGGGGATGCTCAGGTTTTGGGTATTTCTCATAGAGGAATTCGTCTTCTGAAGGTGGTGAGAGCATCAGGCATCAACCCAAAGCATCTCAGACTGCTCAAAGGCTACAGGTACAGAACACAACCAACACTTAAAAACCAGTACACCAACCAAAGTACCCAACCACTGACTGAAGGCTACAGCTCACATAAAGAACACAACCAATGCCACCTTTGACCAGAAATATGCTTTTATGATAAAATACTGTATCAACATCTATGTGTTATTATTTTTTTTTTAATTATAAAAACTAAACAGCCTACAGTATTTTTCCAGTCTCATTGTTATAGCTGAAATGGCCATTTATCAACTGAAGTTCATGTAGCCGGAGATTCCTTTAAGCAACACTGGATGTGGGCCAACATCCCTCCACAACCGAGACACTGATAAAATTCTACATAATATGGGGAGTGGTGGAGCAGAGGTTAGAAGATGGGCTTGTGATCGGAAAGTTGCAGGTTCACCTCCCGGTACCGTCAACATAAAAAACGAGGCTGGAAAAGGTGAAACACCCACACCTGCCTCCACCCTCGTAGGCCCCACTCTGGGCCCCTGAGCAAGGCCATTAACCCCCACCATCTGCTCCCTAAACAGGTCTCTCTTGAAAATGAGTTCTCGTGACTCAATGAGACTACCTGGATAAATAAAGGCTAAATGAAAAAAAATGAAATAAATAAATAAATAAAAGCAGTACTAGAATTACTGAGACTAAAGGAGGTTCTACAAACAGCTGGATCAGCAGCTGGACACAATTTTTGAAACACAGCTTTTCCATTTTGACCACTGTGCTTAAAAAATATTAATGGAGTGGAACAGTTTGTGTATTCTTGTACACTTAAAATTACGTTTGAGTAATTTTAGAACCTGCTGAAGACCAGACCATTTTTTCTGTGAAACATTAGAACAAAGTTATGGACAACTTACAATATACAGTATATATATATACTGTATTCATTCAACCTTTATTTAAATAGATAAATCACACTGAGCCTCGAAGACTCAATTACAAGTGAGACCTGTTTGGACAGACAAAAACAGTGGTTAACTGGACACATGTAGGAGTTGGAGGAGAAAAAAAATTCCTATCAGACTTTTTCTTGGCTGTGAAAAACCCCTAATATTGAAAAAACACCTCGCACAAACAAGCACATATTTACGTAGACATTCTACATCAGAGAAGAGAACGGTCAACAACACTTATAGATGCTCTCGAGGTCACTGTAATCAGTCAATGTCCTCCGGTGAGATCCATAAACATTCTCGAGGTATGTCAAGGAATGGCCAAGGATAACCTGTATGAGAATCCAAGAGTCCTGAAATGATGACACAAAGTTTTTTCAGCTGGTTTCATTTGGTTACCAGTTGGAAATTCCTCAGGGAGGGGGTGGTGAGCGTCAGATCACATGTTCTCCAGGCGAATTTAGATAAGATGGCCTTCAAGGACAACCAAGGCGACCAAATTTAGATAAACACACAGTTGTTTTGGGGACAGGCAGAACTTAATGGCATCTACCTTGTATATACTGTATACAGTATATATATACAGTATATATGTATATATATATATATAC